TATTCTAGCAGGGTTAGATGTTGAGTATGTGTTAGTGTTGCATGCTAGTGGTTATGCCACTTAGGTAGACCTGTAGGACTACCTGTTATGTTATATGGTTGTTGCATGCTCAGTGGTGATGTTGTATGTTATATGTTATGTGGGATGGGTTGAGGTTGTACCGCTCCGTGCGGTGGCCAACAAACCCTAGGAGCATTCCAGTTACGGGCTAAGGGAGACTCGTACTGTGGGCTCGGAAACATTCCAGTTACGGGCTAAGGGAGACTCGTACTGTGGGCTCGATGGCAAGCCAGATATGAGCTGTGGGCCCGTAAGGCAATCCAGACTCACACTGTGGGCCCAGGGGGGTAATCCAGTCTGTAAAGCTGTGGACCCAGTACATGCTGTTATTTATATATGTGTTATGTGCAGTGTATCGGTATTTTGGGGGAACTCACTAAGCTCTCGGGCTTACAGTTTCAGTTTATTGTTTCAGGTACATCAGGGGATCGCGGCAAGGCGAAGGTGTGATCGTACAGCTCCTCATGTTTTGTCTATGTTTCTGGGAAAACTCTGATATTATACATTTTGAAAACAAAGTTGTAATGATTCTAATGGTTTGAAATGTTTTTAAAAGTTTAAATTGGCTTGAATTTTTCGGGTGTTACATTAACGAGGGGAGGAATCGGAAATGAATAGACCTAAGGTAATTTCATCAACTTGGGATTGGGAGGGAATCCTAATTTGGGGGCGACGATGAATAGAAGAGAAGAGGGAAATTGGGTTTTAAAACTGATATTCCTAAATTAAAGGCATATTAGTTGATTTATATATTTACCATAATTAATTAAATGTATGATTACATATTTACCCTTTTGAAATGATTGGCCTACATTTATTCATACAATAACACAATAATTACTTTAAATACCTGAACCTAGCTATATATATATATATATATATATATATATATATATATATATATATATATATAGATATATATATATATATATATATATATATATATTGGATCGAGTGAGGACTCAAAAATCTGAAAAAATCAAAGTTCTTAAAATTTAATTCTCTATAAAATGACCACAATGAGGAAAATTTGAAAAAAAAAATATTTTTTATTTTTTATAGAAAAACCCACAAAAAAATTCTCCAAAAATCATAAAAAAATTAAGGGATACTTCTACTCAATATATTAGCGACTTTGTAAAAAGAATTTTTCAAAACTAAGTTTTTGAAGTATTTATTTTTAATTTTAAGGAATATTATTTTTTAAGAAAATGTTAAATAAAATATGATACAAATGTGACGATTCAAAATATTATGATTCAAAAAAAACTTTTGATTCAACTTGATTATGATCCTTAATTTGTTATGATCTAAAAATATTTAGATTTAAAGATTTTATAATCCTTAATTATATCTTTTATGATTCAAAATTAAATGTGTCAAAATATATAATGATCCATACATTTTTTTTGAACAAAAACTATATTTAATTGAATATATTATTAATCCAAAATCATATTATTAAAAAATGATTTCATTTAAAATACTCTGATTCAAAATAATTTGATTCAAAATTTTATGATCCAAAAATAATATTATTCAAGAAAAGTATGAATGGAAAATATTATGATCCTTAATATTCTTCTTATTTAAAATTTTATAATTGTTAAACATTAAATGCTCAAACCGATACTTAGTTTAAAAATTAAAAAAATCAAAAAATAAAAACAATAATAAAGAAAAACACGAGTATCTTCAAGTATGTACTAAATATATTAAAAAAACAGAAAAAAAAATTATAAAACAAAAAAAATTTAAGAAAACGAAAAAAATTAAAAACGTTCAAACTAAGCATATATCTTTTTAATTTTTTTTATTTTTTTAACAAAAAATAAAAATAAATAAATAAATAAATAAAATAAACGAAAATAAATAATAAAACTCACTTAAATGACGTTCCATTAACGTTCGTCGCGCGTGATTAAATCCTTGAGTCCGTATTAGTTACCACGGACATGGGTCGCATGCGAACGCACCACGGCCAAGTATTTAGGTTTGACGTTTGTGCCCTTAACAAAATGGGCGGTGGAGAATTGTCCTCATAGTCATCACCATTTTTTGAGTCCTCACCAAACCAGAACATATATATATATATATATATATATATATATATATATATATATATATATATATATATATATATATATATATATATATATATATATATATATATATATATATAGGGCTAGGTTCATGTGTTTCTTATATTTATTGTGTGCTATGATGCACCAGGAATTTAGTAAAAATAAATAATTATTTAACTAAATAAAGATAGATATTAAATGATATCAATAATTATAATTCTCTTCTTATAGAAACTAATTAAATTCGTCATTAATGTCAGCAATAACATTTTTTCAAAATGAATCTGTATCTATGTTTTCGTGTATGAGTTTGTGTTTTGTTTATGGATCCACTCACTTAAAATACAACAAAGTTGCATTGAATATGAAGAACGATAGTGTATTCTACTAGAATACACTCTAATTCTGTTAGAATATACTCTCATTCTTCTAGAATAAACTCTCATTGTACTAGAATACACTCTCGTTATCAATGTTCCATACAACTTTGTTGTATTTTGAGTGAGTGGGTCATGAAACAAAATACGAACATATACATGAAAACCTAGATGAGAGGTCAATCTGAAAGAATGTTGTTGATGATATTAATGATGAATTTAATTAGTTTCCATAAAAAATGAATTATAATTATGTATATCATTTAATATACATATAATTATGGAAATCATTTAATATCTATCTTTATTTGATTAAATAATAATTTAATTTTTACAAAAGTCTTATTGGTGCATTCTAACACACGATGTGAAAAATATTTGAACGTAGTTCTCTCTCTCTCTCTCTCTCTCTCTCTCTCTCTCTCTCTCTCTCTCTCTCTCTCTCTCTCTCTCTCTATATATATATATATATATATATATATATATATATATATATATATATATAAGTAGTTTCTTGCGAAAATCTAAATATGTTGTGAAAATGAAAAGAACCAAAAATTTAGAAAATACTTACAACTTCTAGATAGACTTCTATAACTTCCCAATATTTAAGAAAATGTTGTCTCTAAGATAAGCTACAAAAAAGTCATAAAAGATTATCTGCAACTTAACTCACGATCGTAAGAGCATGAAGTTGGTAATCGCTCAATAGTAATTGTATTATTGTTTTTATTTAAATGGGTTTAAAATGAAAACATGTTTATATTGTATATTTTGTTTAAATAAACTTTATATACAAACATATATCTTTTATAGTTTTTGTGTAGATGAATTTCAGATATAATCATATATAATCTTATTTATGCTACTTAACATGAAAAAAAACTAACTTGTCATTTCTAATACTAGATCATAAAAAATATAAAAATATAATGTATGTTGTTATTTAATCTAAAATGAATAAATAAAAAGATAAAAGAAAAAATCAATTTATCTCTTTTCTCATCTTCTTATAGAAAATTAGACAAAAATAGGCTAATTTAAAACTTAGGTACACTAAAAGGGTGTTTTGCTAAGTTTATTTAATTAGATTTTCAAATTATCTTCGGTTTCACACTTATATAAATTAAAATTAATGTTTGTATGTGATTTTTTCAAAAACAACTTTATCACAGTTTTGTACCAGTAATTAAAAATTAAAAAGTATTTTTTTTTTCTATTTTAAATATGCTTAGCGACAGACCCTCTAATTATAATATGACACACTAATTATAATAGTTGGCATGAACATGAACATCACGTGTATATTGTTTTGCTCACATTGATCAAATAATATCCTAAATGCATTTTTCTAAATAAAAAAAAATAAATGTTAATTTGTCATACAATTAAAAAAGGAAAAAGGAGGGTTTAAGCCTTGCACGTTGTATGATTTGGACCACCCACTTCGATGGATTTCTTGTGAATTGAACCCCCAACTAGTTTTCGCTTTTCAATGATTCCCGGTTAGTCAAGCCAACTCACTTTCCCCTTTTTACGCAACAAGCCCCATCTTTTTTACATATTTTATACTCTTTATACTTAGATAATAACTTTTTTTTATAAAGGCAGATAAAATTTGTATTAATAGTTATAAGGGTTAATCATAAAAAAAAAAATATTTTATGTGTTTTCCGAATTAAATTTCAAACATTTTTATTAGAAAGACATTACATTTTTTAACTTTTCAGGAAAAATTCTCAACTTTGTCTCTTTTTTTTCGGAAATAAACCTCAACGTTTTAACTGTTTCAGAACCTTAAATTTTTTTAGTTTTTTCTGAAAAAATCATTACATTCTACAATTTATTTGGAAGAAACGACTAAAAGGTTCCGATAAAAAAAAACATAAAGTATAAGGTCTTTTATAATATTAACGCTAATTATAAAAAGTAAATCTCAAAAAAAAATTCATAAAAAACCATTATATTATATTTTTAATGTTTAGAACTCTTATTTTTTATGAGATTGTCTAATTTAAGATTTCTTGAGCCTAATAAACCTCATATAACCATAAATGATAGGTAAGTTTCTCAAAAATCTGTTGGTTATAATCTCTTAAATCATAAAATTTTAGAGAATATAAGGATTACTAAAAAAAATAATCTAATAGTTTTTTTAATGGTTGAATGAAATAAATAGGTATTTTTTTTAAGCTAGAAAGCCTTAAATTAGAATTTATAAAAATATAAGAGAATTCACTTTAATATAATATAATAATTTTTTCCCTTAAAGTTGTATATTTATTAATTAGATTATATAAGTTTTAAAATAGCTTGAAGAAGACATGGTCACGATTTCAATAAACATATACATAGTTAGCTTGGAAGTATGTGATCAATTGATACTATTTAATATTTATAGATATTTTGTTTATCATTTTTGTTTATAAACAATTTCATGTAATCTAGGGTCTATGTGAAATAAAACCACACTAAAAGGGTATGAATGAAAATTACATCGCGTTCTTTCACACATCTTGTTGGCACAAAACCAAGAACAGTTGAATTAGCAGGGATATGTGATATATCATATATATATATTCCCAAATTTGAAGTATTCTTTCAATTCAGAACGACTTTCCTTCAATTAAATCAATTAAACTTCCCTTTTAAAGTTTTAAAGCATCAACAGAAGCAGGCTGATTTGAAGAAAAAAAGTTCAGATTCAACAGCTTGTGGAAGGAAGTACAGAATGTTTTTCAGGTCCCCTCTCTACCTATCTCCCTCGTTTTCTTCATAAACACATTAAACCCCACATAAAAATTGCAGCGAGTTGACTTCCTTTTAGAAAACCCATGTGGGGTTTTCAATGTCTCCGTATCGTGAGCCAACTTTTTGTTTCCAGAAATCAGGAAACATGGTTTCTGCGCGTTTCTTTCCTTTTCCAATTTTTTAATATGAAATTCATTCATCTTTGATTTCTTTATTGTTAGGTGTATTTTTGTTTCCAATTTTGTATGTATTCTGAATTGAATCTGATATGGATCATGGACTACTCTTCAACTTTTTCAGTTGAAGAATTGTGATTCCGAATCTGGATCATAATTCATATATCATACCCATGTGAAAAATGACTGGGAAAATTGAAGAAATCAAAAAGGTTTGCATAATGACTTTGATTCACTAATTCAATCCTTATTTTATTCATTCATTCTCTCTGATTGTGTTATCCCTTTTCTTTTGATGCATCATGACGATAATAATGATGATGATGTCGATGATTTCAGTCCTTTATTCATAAAATTTTGTCAATGAGGCTGAACAACGGAGACGAAGGAAAAGTATTGAAAAATTCTTTTGATCCCACAGGTTGTTTATTTCTTATTTCTCGAGCATCCAACTTCTCCTTTTGTCTGTTGAATTCTTCTTTTGGGTTAAAAGTTGTGTGATATTTAAGCTTTGGTCAAAGTCTCTCCCAAATATCTGCGAATTAGAGACCAGAATTTAATTGTTTGAAGATAAGATAATGAGGAATATTACAAGTTGAAGTAAAGAAAAAAGTGAAGAATATGTTCAAATTTTTGCTTTTTGACCTCACTAAGCAACACAGAAAGACATCCATTCCATTGTCACTTGATGCCTTCAAGGAGACCATATAATATCTTTTATAATCTTTATATCCATATCCATATATATATTCTTTAATCTATATATCCATTATCATCTTTATATTCACCATACTTATGCAGCTAGCAGGATTGGTGTGTTGGATTGCACTAACTTACTAAGTGACTCAATGGAAATTAGTCATGATGTTCAGTCCCTCAGGTTCCAATTTCATCTTATATCCTTTTTACACTTTTTTGGATAATTTTGTAAATTTTATTCATGTTTTCATGATTCATTTTCTATAGGGTGTTTACAGCAACTTGGAATGTAGCAGGAAAATCACCTTCTAGTGATCTCGATCTTGATAACCTTCTACAAATCAATTGTCAATCAGATATATACATTCTTGGGTGCGTATATAATACATATTGTTAATTTGTTATATCTTCTCTTAATTTATAATCCAACGATTTAAAAAAACAATGTTTTATGTGATCAGTTTTCAGGAAATAGTCCCATTAAACGCTGGAAATGTGTTAGTAATAGAAGACAACGGTTCTGCAGCAAAATGGCTCTCATTGATTAGTCAATCTCTCAACAAACAATCTAATAAAGATTATTACGCATTAAATAAAACAAATACAAATTCCAATTCTTTTGAAAGAAAATCTTCGATGTTCTTGCAAAGAACATCACTCAAATCCGCAAGTAGATCTTTCAGATCAGAGAGTCGAAGAAGATTCAAGAGCTGCAATTGCACCATTGTCGAGCCTGAAAGAAAGAGTTATTATGGAAGGGATTCATGTTTCGCATGTCAAAAGTCAAAGTCAAACAATTATGATGATCCCTCTTCATCAGAAGAAGACGATACTACCCCTAACATGGTGGCGCCTGATGTTACTACCGCTGCACCTCCACCAACTGGAAAGAATCAACATTTGAGATATTGTCTTATAAAGAGCAAGCAAATGGTGGGCATTTTTGTCACAATATGGGTTAAAAAGGAGCTTGTTCCATATATAGGCCACTTGAGAACTTCTTGCATAAGTCGTGGGATTTTGGGTTATCTTGGGAATAAGGTATGTTAATAGTTGATATATCAGCTTTTTTTTTTTAAATACATCACAAAGTTCTAAATTTAATCCAATATACATCACACATAAACCACATAGTTCAAAGCTTTATTCAATATACATCACACAGATCAAATTTATATTTGACATACATCACAAAGTTCAAAGCGTTATTCGATTTACAACAAAAAGTTCTAAGCTTTATTAAATATATGTCTCATCGTTCAAATCTTTTTTTGATATACATCTCAAAGTTTAAAGCTTTTTCATCATACATCACAAAGTTCAAAGTTGTATTCGATATACCTCACAAAGTTCAAAGCTTTATTCGATATACATCACAAAAATTCAAAGCTTTATTTGATATACATCACACAGTTCATAGTTATATTGGATAGACGTGACAAAGTTCAAAATTTTATTCGATATACATCACACATAAACCACAAAGCTCAAAGCTTTATTTCATATACACACAAAGTTCAAAGCTTTATTCCACAAAGTTGAAAGTTGTGATATATTTGTCATACATCACAAAGTTGATGTATATCGAATACAACTTTCAACTTTGTGATGTATGAAGAATAAAGCTTTCAACTTTATTCGATATATATCACAAATTTTGAAGCTTTTTGATGTAAACCTAGTTGGAAGTTTTTTTTTTTTACCCTTTTTGGTAATTTAATTGTTTACAGGGTTGTATATCAGTGAGCATGACCTTCAAGCAAACAAGCTTTTGCTTTGTATGTAGTCACTTGGCATCAGGAGAAAAAGAAGGGGATGAGCTTCGAAGGAATTTAGATGTTATTGAGATACTTAAAAGCACACAGTTTCCTAAGATTTGCAGAACACCCAATGCAAAGGTGCCAGACAAAATTTTAGAACATGAGTAAGAATCTTTCTTTTTATTTTCTTGATTATATAATCAAGACTTATAAAAATCCAAATGTAATCTCATGTTATGATAATTTCTCCAGCCGAGTCATTTGGTTAGGTGATTTAAACTATCGAATCGCTCTTAGTTACCATGAAACCAAGAAATTTTTAGAGCAAAATGACTGGGATGCCCTTCTTAATAAGGATCAGGTACTTCCATATGTTCATTTCCCATACTTTGTTTGTTTAATAATTTAACCACTTCTTATATGCCTCGGTAGTCACAGTGTGGAAGTTTCAGTTCTAATGGACTGGGCTCTGGTAAACACAATGTGGGTCAGCTCAGGGGTTGTTGGGAGAATAACTTTTTTTTGCAGTAATGCATTTGTTTAATAATTTATAACATTTGGATCGAGTTTCTTGTAGAAAAGAAAGTGTAGCGACTAAATCGAAAATCTTTTTTTTTTTTTTAACTTTTTTCTTTATGTTTATATTGTGGATGTTTGGACAGCTTAAAATGGAAAGGGAAGCTGGGAGAGTATTCAAGGGTTGGAAAGAGGGGAAGATCTTCTTTCCACCAACATACAAATACTCCTACAACTCAGATTTGTATGCTGGAGACACCATAAAATCAAAGAGCAAAAGAAGAACACCAGCATGGTAATGAGCCAATATCATGTTCGAATTTAGAAGTCAAAAAGATTACTTTTTAGGCTACAAAACCTATAAAGAAAATCTTTTATAATGCAAATTTCAAAAAGTAACATTAATCAAGAACCTAAAATTTTCAGGTGTGATAGAATATTGTGGTATGGAGAGGGAATACATCAGAAGTCATATACACGTTGGGAGTCGAGGTTTTCTGACCACAGGCCTGTTTGTTCGACATTTTTAGTGTTTTTACATAATTAAAGGTGAGTAAATTGTAAAATGGGAAATGTTTTATCTGTTTCCTTGAGTAATAGTATAATTTGAATCATGTCTAAAATGTATTCTTTTATGCAGGTAATAAGAAAACTCTTGAGTTTTGATTAGCTGATGGACAGACATAAAGAAGCATAATAATAATCAAGTATTAAGTTTCTCTAACTGTACATAGAAGCATTCTTACAAGTATAATATCAGAAGAAGAAAGAAATGAAGAAAAGATTGGCTTTTTCCAGTATCATCTTTGCATGAGTTGCATCTGCATCTTTTTCAAAGATTATGAAGTCAAGAACAATGGTTTGTTGGATTAGCCAAAAAAAAAATTATCTTTGATTATTTATTACTCTTTAAATGTTACAAAAAATAGTTTATATATGACTTTTAGACGGTGGTGATCCGTTTTGAAAATGGTAAACGTTCGTATACAAGAATTATATAGATAATGTTAGTGTCATATTTTCAAAATGTTGGAGTATCACTTGATGATGTTTCATTTCATGGTATCTTTGTTGTGTATTCAGAAAGTATTTAAATTGTTTTGGTTATATAATTTCAAAAATTATTCTCACTGAACTTTGAATCTACTTTTTTAATGTTGTAAAATTTTCTCTAAAGGTTAGAAAATATTAGAAGGAAGGGTAAATGCTAAAAAATCATTTTCGCAACAAAAAGAAACCATTGTGGTCTCAAGTTTAGCATAAAATTGATTTATGAATATTTTTCCTTTTTAAATTGTTAGGTTTAAGACGTGAATATTTTGTGATGACATGGACATAAAAACCCGACGGGCACATGCCATTCGGCTCTAAAAGTTTTTATAGTTTCATCGGTCTCAACTTAATCCAATATATCGGACATATTAGGAAAAGTTTATCCAATCTACAAAAAAGTTCCAAACTTTTGGGAAAAATTGTAATAAAGTTTCAAAAGATTTTTTTTAACAGAAAAGTCTCGATTATTTAACATTTTGTCCAAATTAACGAAAAAGTCTTTTTTTTATATATTTTAATAGCAAATGACAGATTATATGATTTTATCAAAATAATAAGACTTTTCTGTTCAAAAAAAAGATATAGCTTTTTTGAAACTTTTCCCAAAAGTTTGGGACTTTTCTGTAGATTTTCCTTGGTAATCTCTAGTAAACTAAACTGTAATATGAATAAATAAAAGAAAAAACTTCATAAATGGTCCATGTGGTTTTCAAAAACCTGAAGTTTGGTCCCTATGTTCAAAAAACCTCACAAATAGTCCATGTGGTTTCAAAATTCTTAACAAATAATCCTTGGAGCTAACTCCATTAGGTTTTGGCGGTTAACTATTATTTGATTATAATATTCGGGGGCATTTCCGTCATTTTACTACCAGGGACCATTTATGATGTTTTGTCTTATTTAAAAAAAAAACAAAAAAAAAAAATATTTCTCTCGATCGAATAAATCCATATGAACAAAGCTAAACCCACATGATATGTTACTGTAAACAAATCCAAAAGAATACAAAACAACAAAAACATATGCAAACCACACACACCAAACGATCTGAACCGAGCATAAAAGTCTACCATCGCCGTCCACCACCAGCACCACCACCGCACGCCACCAACGGCTGTAGCCACGATGCACCACGAGCACCACCATTAAACACAACTTGTTGGCATCTTTTTCATGAACACCAAACCCCTTTCATCATTTTCATTACCATTTACCACCTTTAATATCATCACCTAAAGAAAGAAGGAAGAAGGAAGAAAAGGAGTGTGTCCACTTAAATAAATCCAAACCATTTTATTGGAATTTTGTCCCTGGTTTTCCATTTTCTAAGAAAACTAGCTTTGCCCCTAATGTTCACTTATCTGCTTCAGATCTAATTCTTATGCCATCACAGGATTCATGGATTCCAGTCGGTACAATCAAGCGTAAATGGATACCAAAACCAACAAATCCTATTCATGATTAAGTTTAAGCGCCTGAAACCTTTGATTCCATTCTGATGCAATTTATTCCAATTGAACCCTACTCTTTGTTAACATCAGAATCGAGCTTGATCAGAAATCGATATTAACACACTGAAATCAAAAATTATTTCTAACATAGTGCTTCCACCAGACAAATACAATCAAAACGTGAGCATATCAAATTAACACACCTGCAAATCAAATCTTGAACAGATACAAACCTGATTAGAACGAAGGAGATGATGCCTTGTAGTCGCAGGAGGAAGAAGAGCCAACACACACACACACACACAAGTGTAGAGGACTTTCACCCACTAGGGAGTTGATTTTAGTTCCGAATTCACATATGCACACACAATTTCATCAGAGCCCTTCATTTTCTCGAAACTGCAACCGAGTTTGTTGCTTGCGAAATTGATATCTTCAAGACTGGTTATGTGGTCAAGGATGTTAATGGGATGGTTCATAGGATGTTAATCGAAACACCAAACTCTCGATTTCTTGTCACTAAGGATGGGCAGGGGCGGAGATAGGTCCGGTGATGAAGAAAACAAGGTTGGGGTTAGGTTTAATATATTTATTTTTAAATGAAATTACTAGATCTTTTAATATTCATGGAACTATTCAAAGGTAGGTAATGACGATTTACCAATTTCACCACGAAAAACGAAATTTAAATGAATTAGGTTTTAAATGAAATTACTAGATCTTTTAAGATTCATTGAACTATTCAATGACATGTTTAATCTCAATTATGTCATTTCCATTTGTGACTGGGATACCGAGGATCACAAACAAAGTGTGAATAACCATGCAAATTATCTTGGCACTCTCGATGTCATTTATCACCTAATTAATCTGCCGGTTAACCACACACGCTCCATTAATTAATGATAATTTACGAGACACCCATTGCCACCCTTTATTAGTCCATGTTAGTGTGTCGGTTAACCACACACGCTCCACTAACGACTTATATAAAGTGCAATGTGCAATTTCATGGATTAACATCAAATTCACATTTTCCTAAAGTAACTAAGATTGAGAATTTAATAAAAACATTTAGTTATATTATTTATTCCATTATACTTATTAATGAGAATTAAGTGTCCTATCAAACCCGTTCGGCTAACGACCCTCCACCAATCAAGGGAGCGGTGGGTAAGAGTGGATATCCAATGTTGGTTATTTTATAGGCCGCTTCCTTAAACTCCCCTTATAGATCGGCTTCGTGAATGAGACGTACTAGCAGTTCGACTAACTTGTCTTATACATATAGTAAATATTAAACTTTTAATTTTACATATAGTATAAGGGTGTATTTTAAACATTTCAAAATACTAGGGTTTTTTTAATTTATTTAAAATTTCAAAAATTAAAACCAATTTTAATTTAAATTTTATAATTGAAAAAACTTTGATTTAATAATTATCTATTAATTAAACCTTTAATTAATTTATTAAATCAATTAAGGATTATCCATTAAATTAAACAAATTAATTTAACCTAATCCCTTATCCCCTAGATTTCGAAAAAATGGGAGGGATAATTATAATATCTTATAATTATCTAGTTAACAATTAATAAGATAATTACCAAATATAACAAACCTACCCAAAACCCTAATTTTTGAAATCATGACTTGGAGTGGAAGGCAAGGCTTTCAATCCTTGCCTTATTTTCGAAAACCATAGGGTTAGGAAACCCTAGATCTCAAAATTTAGGAGGCCAAATGAAAAGGGTTAAAACCCTTTGCAAATTTTCGAAAAACAGGGTTATGAAACCCTAATTTGCGAAAATTATAAGGCATAGGGTTTAATTGCCATAAACCCTAATTTTTGTCAAGTTCAATCAATTGCATCAAATCTAATTGAAAACAAAAAACAAAAGCTCTGATACCACTGATGGGTTTTGATAGCAAACAATCCTATGTGTGCATGCAACCCTTATATGTTGGATCTATGTTTTCTCTATTAGACATACAAGCATTGAACACACAACAATAAACCCTATGAGGCATGTATAATTTTCGAAATTAACAAAACTAGGGTTAGGATACATACCTTGAATGTTATATTGTAATAAAAATGAAAACCTTGAAGATCTTGAACTTTGAGAGCAAGTGTCACATGTGTAACACCTCACACACTATGCAAGAGGATGATAGGAGAGAGGAGGAGAAAGCTCTAGAATTAGGCTCTTCTTAGGTTTTGGAAGCATATATCCAAAATATCAATGGGTTGCGGCTCCTTATATAGTTGAGGTAGCTTAGAGCCAAAGCTAGGGCAAAAGGAGGAAACCCTAATCCATTTGCTTAAGCCCTAAGCAGCTCATGGACTCTCTATCCAAGAGCCTTGGACGAAAATTCTAGGGCTTTCCCTAGAGGTTTTCATCCATCCCTTCTAGGAGGATCCAAGAGCCCAATTCCACAACTATCAATAAATTGCAAAACAGCCCCTGTACTTTTAATTAATTCATTTAATCCCAAAATTAATTCAAAATTAATTTTTGATTAAATATTAATTAAATAATATGATTTCTAATTAATATATCATTTCCATAATATATTAATAAATCATTATTTCCAACTTATTAATCAAATTAATAAATCCAACCTCTCTCTCCAAAAGTCATCATGTCTAGTTCCTAGTATGAAGGCAACCCAAAAGGACTGTGCTACTATCAATTTAAGTATATACCAATTATAGTTATGGGCTTAGATACCTAATCCAAAAATATTTTGGGGGAACTCACTAAGCTTTGTGCTTATGGTTTTATGGTTTATGTTTCAGGTACTTCCGGTTTGAAAGGGAAGGGTCTGGCGTGATTGCACAACATCCACCCATGTTTCCACAACTTTATGATTTTGGGAATTGTACTCTGATAAGTATTTTACTATAACATACTTTGAACGATTAAAAAGGTTAAATAGTGTTTATGGTTGATTTAAAAATGAAAATTTTCCCTTATGATTTTGGGGACGTTACAAAGCTGAAATCAAAGATCTACCACCAATGCCATCCCCTTCTTCACCACTCCAACATCATACATTTATACCCATTTCCTCTATTTTTACTTCCCTTGCTCGACATCCATCATCCAACAGACTGTGAAGCAGATATCTATAGAAGTCGTCATACCTGGTATCAACTCTTTTGCAACTAGATTCGTGAGCTCCTTGTCAGAATCAAGAGCGTCAGTACGCTAAGAGTTTATCAAATCGATGTTTCTGTTGTGTTCACCACCATCGGAACTGTATCGTCATCTGAACCTA